TTTTCTTTTTCATTTTGGAGATATTTATACATGCTAGGTGACCAGGGAAGGCACTAGGCTTTTCCCAAAACAGCAAATAACAGTAGTAGCATATTTGCACGAGTTGATTAGCTTTAGTTCATTTGTGGATTTCCAACTAGTAACATAGTGATAATGATCCATTACTCCCCTAACTATGTCCTTATTAAGTTGGCAAAGAAAAGCTACCACTTGTTTTGCTTTCATAAATTTAAGAAAATATTTTAATCTGCTAGGCTTTGTTCTTTTGATTTATTTTAATATTTTCTTTTTATTGAATGTGATGTTAGATGGACTGCAGAAGGCCAGAAACTAAACAATAGTGTTTGACATGCTTCTGCTCCTTCGAACAAACTCTTTTATATGATTATATCCATTTTAAACTGTTGAGTGAATGAAGTTTAATGAATAAGTAGAAATTAATTAGCCAAGTCATGAATGTTATGAGCTTCAGCAAAGGCTTATCTTTTCTTGACAACTTTTCCTTCTTTACAATCCTATCTTGGAGAAAAATACGTATCAGTTCGATTCATAACTTAAACATTTTGGGTATTCCCTTTTCGCATCACCCTAGAATTTTCTTGGGCAAACAAAATATTCTGTGGACTACACTTGTTATAACATCGTCGTATACTATCATATTTATGGAAATCTTGCATTAAGGATTAAATTCGGACATCAATAACAATTACAGAAACACTGGAAAGAGTCCAGTTTACAGATGTAGCTAGATAATTTTGGTTAGAGAGAAATCAAACTCAAAATATTTTTCTGCCCGCGCGAAAAGCCAGTTACAGCAAGAATGCTATATCTCTACAGAGTTAAATCCTTTCAACCTCCGCTTTATTTTTAATCATTCGGCAACTGAACTAGTAGTCTAAAAAAAACAATGATATCTCTCAAGATATCTAATGGAAGATATATTATTCATTATGTTATATGCCACCACTGACTAATTAATTCAAATATTATTATATGATGGGAATATGGAAGACTTCAATGAAGAAAAAGTAGCCGAAAAAACACATACCACAAAATCAATGTTAGGTGGATATTTAGGTGCTTACGAAATATATTAAAGCAGAAGATGCTTTGATTAGTGGAATACACACTCAGCCTACACAAAGTGATGGTGATGGACATTGGTGATCAACCTCAGTCATATTCACCTATTTGAATACATTATACTATGGCAGAAAGGTTCACAGAAAAGAATAATGTATCAGATATAATCTAGAATTGTACACAATTGTCAACTGATTTAGCCACTGCTATCTAATGGAACGGAAACCAACCAAAAAAATCCCATAAGAAAGCCCCTCAACGAACACGTTGGGAACAAAATAGTAATGTCCCATCATTGAGAATCATTGAGACGTAAGTAGGAGACAAGATTTAAATAAATATACTTGTCCCCTCTCTAGAAGTTTAAGCTATTAGACGAGATGGTTGAGAGAATCAATGGAAAAAGTGAAATTAAGCTGATTTAAGTTTCTGATTCACGAACCATTCATCGCTTGCCATGGTACAAATTAAGGAGTGGTGATTATTAGGAATTTAGACACAACTGTATTAACTTAAACAATTAGAGTTGTACAGGATGATTTGACAGCGCTTAGCCAGAGAAGATTGCAATGAGAATATAGCGTACAACTTGTGAAAAAAGCAAATACAAGACATGGCCACTTAACTATGGTGGAGCTTCAAATCCAAAATTCACATGGTTTTAATCTAGTATCCAGAACAGATATTGCTAACAGGTCTTCCATGAAATCTTGCAATATTTTGTGGATATGCAATGGAGTCAAAAACCAATAAAGCGCCCTTATTTGTAGCAGTGGTTGAGTTGGGTTTTTTTTCAGCTGATTCTGACCAAGTAGTCTTACTAGTAGTGGTGGTGGTGGTTGTGAGATGAAGTGTGATATCATGGATGCTTGGACGCCTCTTATCTTTGCCTCCAGTAAGCTGCCTTAGAAAGTATTTTTGAGCATGGCTCGCGACTTGAGTAGGTGTTTTGGTGATCACAAAATTGCGCGATATATTTCTCCAGTCACCTTTTCCGTGTCTTTCAAGTCCCAACAGGAAACGTCTAACAAACGAACAGTATTACTAAATAGTGTTATTGAATTGAATTATTCAATCAAGCTAAGAACAAACATGTTATGAATTGAAAATTCACCTGTGTTCCTCCTCAGTCCACGGTACACCTTTCTTTCTTTCTTGATCGCAAGACCTTCCTCTCTTCCTATAAGCATCAAAATTGCGATTTTCTCCCAATTCAAATGTGAAAGAAGCGGCCAAGTATCCTGGAATTGGGACCAAACCAGCTTCAATATCACTAATATCTTTCACCAGTTCCCTGTATTGGTGCATCACATCAGTAACTGATTTTCCTGGGATCATGGATGCCACCTTATCCCATCTGTCGGGAGTTTTTTCATCATAAACTACAATAGCACGCTCGAATTTCTTGTTCTCTTCTCTTGTCCATACTGTGCTTTTCCTTTGTTGCATCAACCAACTCAAATTTGACATGAATGAGGCTGGATACCAGGTTTCCATGCCTAAAATGCTTAAACCACTTTCCCCAAGCCTTAATACACTACAATTCGACAGCTCAATCCTTGTATCACTAGTCTTGAATGTGAAAGGAACCTAGAAAAGTCGGGTATGGTGATAAAAGTCAGGTTTTGTATAGTGATTTGATAACAATTGAAATCGAAATAATAGAACGAGAATCAGAATACTACTTTTTTCCAAATGGCATATATTGAGGGATATAGAAAAGATTTGCCTTTTCAGAATCTCGTAAAAGATATCATAGAAGGGAAAGAAAAGCTAGATCAAGATATTCAATTTGAAAGTAACTAATGATCCTTGTAGCACTGAATTGGGGTTTACACATAAATGAATACGAGAAAAAAGTTAAGCATGAAATCAGTATAATTGAAAATCGTGGATGAGGATGAAACCGTGAAGGAGAGTAGACTGAAAAACATAGATGGAGAAGGTATACTTACAAGATAAAATGGTTGCTTCCCTCTAATTATAAGAGATTGATTAAGGTTTAATCTGCCTGGATGCTATGCAAGTTGCACGTTGCTGAGCTTTGCAATGAAAATCACTTTTTGTGTCAGCAAAGCAGATTATGAGGCTATCTGATATCAGACTCTATCGGCATACAAAAGTAGGAAAGATTGGCACTGCACTATTACTATGCTCATTGCTTCTTTTGCCACTTTAACATCAAAAGGTGACTTTGCACTTTGTATCATTCAATCATTTTTCATAACAATCAAGAGGCGTACTATTAACAAAGCACGGAGCGGATAATTACCAAGTAATATGGCTAATAAGTGTAACATTATAGTGAGTTTCTATCTGTTGGGTTTTTTGATACCCAATAATTGGGG